CCCGCCATCGCCTGTAATGAAAAAATTACTTTTGATGCTTTGTTATAATAAACCTGTAATTATAACAGCAGCAAAGCCCGAGTAATTTTATTCGCGCCGTGCCACTCCATTTCGGCGCCGTTGCCGGTCCGCACCAAGGAAATAAATCAAACGATTTAAATGATACACGGAAAAAGAAGGTGTTAGGAGCACTGGAAAAAAACACATTGGATCTAGTGTCCAGACTCTTAAAAACATCGACAAGAAAAAATACTCTTGATTCAGTTAGATTTAAGCTTAAATCAAGAGCCAAGCCTCTTAATTTGAGCAGATTTCCTTTTTAACTGGAAAAAAAACACATTGGATCTAGAGTCCAGACTCCTAAAAACATCGACAAGAAAAAGCAATCTTGATTCAATCAGAATCTAACTTAAATCAAGAACCAAGCCTCTTAATTTAAGCGGATTTCGTTTTGATTTAAGCAAAAATCCGATTGAATCAAGAGTCTTTTTTCTTGTCAGAGTCTGGACTCAAGATCCAATGTGTTTTTTTTTCAATGAAGGTGTTAGAAGTAATCCTCTGAAATTGAACCGATTATTTTTCAAATCACGCAAGCGCCAAAATTGCGAATGCGAGGTTTGGCGCAATGCGTGAAGTATCCCTACAGTCTTGTAGGCGCTATGCGTTTCACGCTGACCGCTGCTAACCAAGTGACCGCACAGTTTTTGACGCAATGCGTGAAGTATTTATGCAGTCTTGTAGGCACTATGAGTTTCACGCCAACCGCTGCTGACCGCACTACGTTTGACGCAATGCGTGAAGTATTCATGGAGTCTTGTAGGCGCTAATATGTGTTTCATGCTGACCGGTGCGCTGATAGGGCTTCTCCTTTCCATCTCAAGTTCTCGCCATCATTGCTCTCTGCGCCGTGCCGCTCCAGGCCAAATCGCGTGTTTGGTTTCTCTCTCAACTAGACTAATGAAAGGCGCTGTCTCTTGTATCACCGAAAGACGAACAAATTAGAAATTACTACACTTTAACTCTCAGGATATGAGAGATTTTTTCGCCTTTCCTCATTTGTGATTTTTTTTCTGAATCAGATTTTTTTCTCGATACCTACATTTGGAAAAATTACAACATTTGCCGCCCCCTAAATTTGCCGCCATGGGCTGCGGCCCATCTGGCCACCCCCTTAATCCGGCCTTGCCCCCACCCCCGTGTTTCTATTAAAATCTAAGTCAGGAATACGTGGAAAAGCCGTGAAAAATGGTATTTTTTCGGCCTCAGATCTGCACACTGTCTTACGTTTTATTTCTCGAGAGGAGGGCGTATCCGCGTCCATCCACCCGAGTGCCCGGTCAGTCAAATGCCGAAGTAAATAGCGAAATTTGATAACAGATAAATTGTGACTACCTGTCCGAACGAGTGACAAATGGCCCGATTCGACCTTCAGCTCACGTTATGCATACATGTAACCATACTTCCAACAAACTCGATCCGTTAGAATTTGTCGAAAAAGAATGCGCCTCTATATGAAGGTAATTCTAGGACAATGAATCCGATTAAATATAATTTTCCTCTTTCTCTTGAATGGCCTTGACAGGGAACCACGGTTGTCTCGACCGGGAATGCATGTGTGTCTTTCCTCCAGAAGCCAAGGACCTGTGGATTGCGTTTTTGGCCTCTGTGTGCTTCCAGACGAAGCTTTGGTCCAAACCGTGAGCATTAACGTGAGTCGTGCTGACTAAAATTTCGGTCGCCTTTCTCTTGAAGACTGCATTCCGCCGCCCCGCGCCGACAGGATCCGTAGACAGCCGAATTCCGTCAGCTAAACCGCCATGCTAAGTAAAAACGCCGTATAATCATCCGCGTGTTGTCAAATTTCCTCCTTAAAAATATATATTTTTGAAGAAAGGTATGAATATTTTCCTTGAAATTTTCAGACTCTTTAGATCGCAAATAACGAATGAAATCCTCTGAAATAACGGAAGAGAAATATTCACAAATCTTCCTGAATATTCGTAATTCATCGAAGGAAATTTGGCAACGCCTGATGGTTCATACGGCGTTCTTCCGTGGCACGGCAGTACAGCGATCCGTGACACCTGTATTTTCCGGATCTCACTATTCATATTCTTGGGTTTCTCGCTATCGTGGTTGTAATGGTGCTTTTACAGGTATAATGGCGCAAAAGCTCAAGAGCAATGTTTCATTTTTTATTGCTCGCATATTGCCGCAACAAATTAATACATTTCACAATAAATCGGGTCCAGTACATCGTTTTCCCCCTTAAATTCTTCTGTCAGTAACGATCTTTTTAGCTGGATCCTCTTAGAAGAGCCTCTGTCTGGGAGCGACTCTATTCTCTTTTTTTTTCTCGGTTTTATAAACAACCGACCGTAATGGGCCATTAGACACGGTGTGAATTAAAGCACTGGGCCACAATTTACTTTCCAAAATCTCATGAGAAAAGCTAATCACACACCCGGAAGTCTAGAAATTAACTTACCATCATTGTCGGTTAAGTTATTCCAAAAACACAAATGACGTTTTTTGTATAATCTATTTTCCCTTTGATCCGTAATAAACATGCGCTTGATAATATCTCGCCCATAAGTTCGATTTTTGGGTTTCCCATTGTGTGGATCGTTTTCTAAGTGAAATTTTGAAACGATTGGTGAATTTTTGTATTATTCAGACCTAGTCTAGTGGCCCCTTCTAACAGTGAAAAATCGGTATGCCAATAATAAATTGCATGTATCTGCAGTTTTTGTCGGCGTGACCCGTAGGACCGATCTTTCGCCCTCAATAATTTTGCAGAACTAATGTCGTTAATGATTGAATAATATCACAAGTCACTATTAACTCTTTTTCGCCTCAATTCAAATTTTGAATGGAGGCTGAAGATGAGGTTTTCCTAATTTAAACTCCGCCGACTATTATTCGAAACTTAATTCCCGAACGAAATATATTGCCTGCCAATAACTCATGGGGATCGGATATTGCGGTGGGAGGGCACGGAAGGCGAAGCTTTATCAGGATAGGAACGACAGTCACAGGAACCACAAAGGAAAATAAGTTGGGGCCGGTGACCGGGCCGGGGGAGGGGGGGGTATGAAGGATGAAAGGAGAGGAAAGTTATAAAAAACAACCGGCTCGTTAATTCATGTATCGTAAAAAGCTTGCCTGTGACGAGCAGAACCAGTGGCAGATGGCTGTGAAAAATTCCCGCACCTTCCATTTTCCGCGCCGTGCAATGAGAATTCCGCGCGAAAACTGGCAACACTGCGAAGCTGGAATGTCAAGTTTCTGAATATTTTAAGATTTGAAGATTTTATTTAGAGGCTAATCCTTTTGCGCGATTCGACCGTAAAGCTTAGAGCGGAAGTTGAGCCTCCCATGAACAACTCGTTAGGTTAACCCACCCGATGGATTCGCATCACCGGGTTCTTGATCCAAAAATTGTATTAAATTGCATTTTACTGAAAGTTTAGCAACAAAGGCAGTCAGGAGGCTGAAGAGGGTGGTGGAGTGGTGGCCAACTCGCAATTTTATAACTTTATCGTCACGCAGGTTTTTATTTCCGAGCGGGTCCGCTTTGATTTGGCTCATTGTTGCCAAACGTGTCAGTGAAAATGAGCGGTAATATTACCTTGTGCTTGGTTAGGTATTTTAGGTTATGCCATATTATGCTATAGGCTCTTGCTACGGAACCCGGCTGTCATGATAGTGAAGAGAGCAGTAAGTGCATTTCTGTATGAGCCATGGTTTACACATGCTTTTATGTGTCTCGAGGTTCACCCTACCATGCACTTATTGCTTTCTTCGCTACCACACGGCAGCCGGGAACATTCGGTCTTCATGCCAGGTTCATTTGATCAAATTGAAGTGTACTTTATCGCATCCTGTGATTCCAGTCCGAATTCTGAATTTTGAAGCATCACCGGATTTTTTTGTTATACGGTTTATTCATCTCATAAATGTGCTGTAAACAATGGCCTCTCATTAACGATCAACGAGATGTCTTCAATGTTTTTTCAGCTATAGCTGAGTCGAAATTTGTGTGAGTTTCCGTACATGGATGCGAGTCAGTGTCAATGACATGACAGGAAGTAATCGCCTCTAGAGATTCGAACGCGCGCGGCCGACTTTCATTTCGACCCGATGGTGAGATGTGGGAATACTTTTACAGTAGAAAAATTGAATACACGTTTTGATACACTCTACTGCGATTTAGGGGCCCAATTTTGAATTAGCTTATTTGTGGTTTCCAGGAAATTCCCATCCTCCCCCTCCACCCCGCCACCCGCCTCTGAAAAAACAAAGGTTTTTACGGTGATTCGATATAAATTCACTAATTATTTATTGCCTTATTTACGATCATCCACGTATGTCATAATGTGTTCAAGTAATTTTTATTATGCTTACATAGAAGTCTATCAAGAACATGGTAAAATTTCAGATCGTACGCGTTTTACCGATAACTTTCGGTTGTGTCGGTTTTGTGTAGTTGAAACCGTACCCATAAAGCTGGAAAACAGGACGAATCTCAAGCAAATATCGTGCTCAAAGATATCCGGGAAATATCAAAAATATTATTCAACCGTTTCCCCTTACCAGTTTCGTCTTCATCTTACTATTTTTTGTGAGTTTAGGCGTCAAGAGGAAGATTCTAAAATTGAGAGCTCAAACTTCAAATATATTTTCGGCCCTTATGAGTGCACCAAAGTATCGTTTAGAAATTTTAAAATTAGTAGAAAGAATCGGACTTATTCTAGACGCATATTCATAAATGATTGATAAAATACCTAGTCGTGAAATTTTTGTCTTTTAAATTGGTGAAAACCCTGAGACTTCAGGGAATTTCAACCGGAAGTATTCAGTCACCTCCATTGACGTCGGAGAGGCATTTTGTGCGTTGACGATTCACGATGGGTTTTCTTTTGCACTTTGAATACATATTGAATTGTTTTAATGCTCTCAGATTGTATTATTAATTGATTGATTTTTTTCTGTTACAGATTCGCATTACAGTTCTCGACAGAAATGACAGCCCACCATCTTTCGAGGGCATGCTCTTAGAGTATTCGGTTTCGGAGGATATTCCAAGCGGTCAGATTGTGACAGTGCTACACGCGACAGACCCGGATCTACCGGGCCCGATAACGTACAGTTTGGTCTCCGGAGACGACGGTCATTTCGATTTGGATTCCATGACGGGAACGCTTCGCCTCAAAGAGGCACTCGATAGAGAAACGAAGGATGTGTATAAGCTCAAAGTTAGGGCCAGTGATGGAGTGCAAACGACCGACACCATCATAACTATTACCGTAAGTACTCTTTCTCCGTTTCATTTCTATTCCACCGTCCGCGAAAAAACAGACCTCGATGCATGTTAACATAAGAATGGTTTCGTTTGTTTCGTCGGGTGGGATCTGAATTTCCTTTTTTTTTCTCGAATGTATGTCGATATGGCCCTTGGTCTAAAAAAAGGAACTCCAATAAGAGACTTTTACCACACTGTAAAAAAAATTCCGGCCGTGGAAGCCATATTTACGAGCTGTACAGACATACCGTTCGCGTTCCCAGCTCAGAGGCCGAAAGTTCCGAGCGTAGCACCCGGAACAATCGAAGCTACGGCTCCGGCACCCAGAGCTTTCGGCCTTCCAGCCCGGAACGGACGTTATGTCTATACACCCTGTAACCAGAGACAAGAGACCCTCCACTGGCCTCCTAGCGACAGGTGGAAAATTTTGCTTTCGGGGATTCAACAGTTCCATATGGACAATTATTAGGGAGCGTCAGTCATCGCCCTAATTTCGGGTGGTTGACCTACCTACATGGTCGATGATGAGCTCCGGGTGACGTCATGAGCCAAACAAGTTTCACAAACTTCGGCCATTTTCGACTTGTTTACAAAACGAAACTGCCAACACTTTGTTAAACATCAAATTTGTAGGTAAGTCAACAGTAGAATGCTGAATTGCTGAAGTCCCGAAAGTAAAAGCTTCCACAATAGCCGAGATACGAGTGGAGGGTCTCTTCTCTCTGCCTGTAACTTAGCCCGTAACTTTTTTTCAGTGTGTGAATAAATTGCGAGGCTGGAGATAGTGGAGGCTTTGAAATCCCGGGGAGGGCTGTATTAATATTGAGCGGGTCGTCGGAGCAGGTCCAGTCGTCAAACTGGCCGGGAAAAAGGAGCGCTGTGCCGCTAGTCTTAAGTGGGATGCCGGGATGTCCGGGCTCGGGGACCGGCGAGCGCGGGGATGGAGCTTTTTGAAGTGCAGCGAGAAACGGCCTCGGCCGGTGCTAACTTTAAATTCCATCTCCCAGTGCGTACACGGCACGAGGGCCCCGAGATTAAAAACGCTGCGCCGCACGCTGGGTCGAGTCACCAGGAGAAGTCGGACAAAATTCGGAAACTTTAAACGCTTATAACTCCGTCTCTACAAAATTTTGACTTTCTAAAAGTTGTTCCATTGGTTTCCTCGTGAAATTCTCTCTCAGAAGCACCCCCTATAATTTAAAATGTGACGAATTAAACATGTAAAGTTGCAATTTTAGCTGAAAAGTTCATGTGCGACCTTTCTAATTGACTCGATCCACTGTGCGGCGCCGGCTGGTGCGAGGCTTAAGCAGATTATTTCTTTACTTTATGTCCGAGGCCCCGAGTTCACAGCAAGAGTTCTTGTTAACCGGTGTTGGGGGAAAAAATCCGGCATTAGGACTCAGTTAGTTCGCCCGCTGCGAGCGAAACTGCGTCCACCAAATAGAAAATGATAAATTTACATTAGAAATAATTACAATCCGTGTTCCAGTGCCGCACAGTGGATCGAGTCGAAAGAGAATTCGCAGGTGTCTGAAGTTTGATGAATTTCGTGTTCAAGCGGAAACTGCCGAGTGACCTGAACACGAGGATACCCTCGGTTCATAAATTGAACAATTGTTGAGGATGACATGACAAAATCATCTAATCTGCCAAAATACACGTGTTTAAAGGGAAATGCCGCCAGATGGCATCACTAGGCGGTGATTTTTCTTACTTTTAAATCTATTTTATAATATTCCCCATATCAGAGAGAAATTGTAAAAAAATACCGTGAAATCAGCTCTTTTAGCTCTTTCAGATGAAGCAATTCAAAATTGCATGCAAATTCTCCATTAGAGAGGTCAGACATGCACATTTTCAGAGGCGGATCTTGCAATTAGGCAACACCCGATTCCCAACATTTAAACCTATGTTAACTAATCGATTCTTGTCGGAGCTCCTGGCCCCTCCAAGAATCGATATATTTCCATAGGTTTAAATGGAGAAAAACGAAGTTGCCAATTTTCTGGATCCGCCAATGCACATTTTGATGTTTATTTCGTTATATTTTAAATTTTAAGGAGTGTTTGTAGAAGAAAATGTCACCAGGAAACCAATGGAATCACTTTTAGAACCTCGCAGTTGTGTACAAACGGAGTTATAAGCGTTCAAAGTTTCCGGATTTTGTCCGATCTCTCCCGTTGACTCGATCCACCGTGCGCCGGAGCGGAGCGTGACAAAAAATTAGCATGGACGTACCCGCGCCCGTGCCGATGAGCAATCAGTATTTGCCCAGTGCTCGGCGAGTATTTGAAAATATTTTCATTATTTTATCGGGACTCGTTGCATAACGATCCCACTCGGCCCCGCGTCCGGCAAAACGACCTATCTCCATGGAGCCGCGCGGGGAATTAGGTGATTCTTACTCGGGGTGCCTGGATACCAGTGTCGCGGCCGCGAATGCCACGTCGATCATCTCGCGGCTTGATTCGCTGGATGCTTCGCTTCGACTCCCCACTTTCCTCTCCTCCCTTCACCATACGCAACGACGCAACGTGTGCGCTCTATTGCACCAAGGCGAACGTACCCTCTTCCGGGCGGTATCATCGTATGTCGAGATGCGGATCTTTCAGAAACTACACATTTTTCACCGATTTTCCACTAATTTTTCAGTCTTTCAGTGTATTTACACTTTCACAAAAGAATTGGAATATTTCCGAAACATGTCTGCATTTTCTGGGATAAGTGTACTATCGACGAAGTATGGACTGTTTCATGATAGAAAAATCTGAGTAAAAAAATTAAATTTGTCTTCAAATTCTGAAATGTAAGTGGTCTCGAAATACATACATAAAGTCGCGATTATAGCGCCGCCTCGCGCTCTGCGACGCCCAATCGCCATTGCCCCCTATCCTCCCAGAGATCATCAGGCAATTGGCACCTTCTGATCTCCTCCTCCACCCCTTGTCGCCAACCTTTCACAGGACGTCCACGCCGTCGCCTTCCGGGAGGAACCCAATCGAAGACCTGCTTGGGCAACCGATCATCTGCCATCCTTCGCACATGTCCATACCAGACCAACTGCTTGGACCTGATATCGTGCACGATGTCCTTTTCCACACCCATTATCTCGCGTACCCTTTCATTGCGGATACGCTCTCTTCTCGATATCCCAGCAGACCTTCGCCAAAAGTCCATCTCGGTTGCCCTAAGCATGTCTTCAGTTCTTTTCTTAAGTTGCCAGACCTCACTCCCGTAAGTTACGATACTCTTCACGATGACGTTGTAAATTTTCCTTTTGGTCTCCTTGGAGATACTCTGGTCCCAGAGAACCCCATTTAGCATCGCGATAGCTTTCCTGACATTCCGATCTTTAATGGCCCGATCCAAATTTCCGTCCTTAGTTAACCGAACTCCGAGATATTTATACTCTTCACAGTCCAGGATCTTCCGGCCATCCTCCAGTTCAATGCTTTGCTGATCACCACCGATAACCAACTTCTCCGTCTTAACCACATTTCCTTCCATTCCCCACTTTCGGTATACTTCCACTAGCTTCCGCGTCATGTAATTCGCATCTTCTTCGTCCTGAGCTATTACCACCTGATCATCAGCAAAGCACAGAGTATAAAGGGTGCCATCTTCACGTAGCGGGACGCCCATTCCCGAACAGCATCTTTTCCATTCCTTTAAAACTTCTTCCAGGTACACTTTAAATAAGGTTGGCGACAAACAACACCCTTGTTTCAGTCCTTTAGTAATTAAAAACCCCAACGATAACTCCCCATGCGATTTAACCCTAGAGAAAGCCCCACCATAAAATTCCTTAATAGCACTAATTAGTCCCCCACTAAAACCCCTTTTGTTCAAGGCTTCCCAAAGTTTCATCAATGGCACACTATCGTAAGCTTTCTGGAGATCCACAAACACTAGATGTAATTCCTGGCCAACTCCCTTCTTTTTCTCTATGACGTGGATGATGGTAAATAAGTGATCAATCGTTGACCGACCGGCTCTGAAACCTGCTTGCTCTTCCGCTTCATGTTCTTTCCACTCCTCTTCAATTTTTGCTTTCAAGATTTTTCCATACACTTTGCTCAGGGTACCTGCAACCGACAGTCCTCTATAGTTATCACACTCATCTTTTCTACCCTTCTTCTTGTATATAGGTGACACCCAAGACTCTTTCCATTCTGTCGGTACCTTTCCACCGTCCAAGCAATCTTGCATCAGGTATCTCAACCGTTGAAACAGCTTGCAGGTTCCACACTTGATCAACTCAGCAGGGATATTTCCCGGACCTGGAGCTTTATCGTTCTTCAGCTCTCGTACGGCCTTTACCACGTCCTCCATATGGATCTCCAAGTTATGATTATCGTTAGTATACTCCAAGCTTACGCCTCCATCTTGAAATTCAGGTCGCCTTTCTTTCAGTAAATTTTTAAAATACCCCTCCAGTTTATCAATGGATATCGGAGATATTAAGTCACGCTTCATGTCCCTTCGCAGCCCTTTCAGCAACTTCCAGCTCTCAGTGCTTTTCCTTCCTCCTATGTACGTGTCTATTTTGTTACAGCTCCTCTCCCAAGATTCGTTCTTTTTCTTGGTTATGAGCCTTCGTACCTGCGTCTGAGCTTTTTTATACGCCTCTTTGTCTTCTGTTTTTTTAGAGGAAAGGAACTGATGATATTTTTTCCGTTTCTCCTGAATCTCCTTCTCAATTTCTTCGTCCCACCAGTAAGGTTTTTCGCTAACTTTCCTATCATCAGCGACACCAAGAGCTTCCATTGCTGCCGAGTGAATGCAATCCTTCAGGAACTGATACTGCTGTTCGGTATCACCGTCCCTTGATTCGCCCAACTTCTCATCCAAGCGCTTTCCATATAAAGCCCTTACACTTGGATGCTGCAAGCTGTCAATGTTATAGTTTACAAGCTTGACACGATCTTTTTGTTGGTGAACTTCTTCCTGTGCTTGCCTGGTCTCCTGGCTCCCTTTCACTGGGAAAGCTATTTTTGCCTC